TCCTGTTTGGCATGAGTGTCCCTGCCCCTTGTTGTCAGCATCTTGGCCTCCTATTTCTAGGGGCACAACAAGCTTGAAACCTATCTGGGATGCCCCCAAGCACTGTGTGGTGACCCAAAGATGTCCTTTGTCTTGCAGGGACTGAAATTTGGAGTGTTCGCTTTGGGGAACACTGAATATGAGAATTTTTGCGCTTTTGGGAAGAAAGTGGATCGAGTCATGGGACAGCTTGGTGCAAAGAGGTTTGTCGATCGAACAGATGGTGATGACAGCAGCTGCATTGAAGATGACCTTGACGACTGGATTTGCAGCTTGCTGGCTGCACTGGATGAGCGTGGTTTTGCTAACAAAAGGTAACAACAGACAGTCTGTTCTCAAGGGATGGGAGGGTACCAGAAATCAAACGATTGAGATTGCACTTCATAGGTTCAATGCTATTACACAACTCTACCCAAGCTTTGCAAACTGGGTTGTGCAGAGTCTGCACTGTCCACTGCAGATGGCAGCAGGCCAAACAAGAAGCATTTTCTCTGTGCAAATCGCAGTGACCACCCAAACACCCCTTTCCACAGTACAGTAAAAGCGATGCACAGTGTTGGGAAAGGAAGGGAAAATGAACAACTGGACAAATGCGGTTGCTTTCAATTCTGTTGCGCCCAAGCTTCTGCTCTATAGCATTGTGCAGCCACCCGCCACGTTCAGAAGCAATGTTTGCCAATGATGACAGCAATAAACCAGTCATCCTTCAGCCCCCATATTCATTGGCACTGTCTGCTGGTCCTTAAGGCTTCCTATGCGATTTTGGTCCAGTGGCATTCGTAGCACCTGACCATTGGGAGTATTAGCAGAGAATCAAGCAAAGGGGAACTGCGCTTTGGACTTGGCTAGAATCAGCATAGCTTCAAAGTGCAGATGATGTTTGCGTCAATTATTAGCATTTCAAGTTCGCTCACCAATGCCTGCTGTCCTCCATTTCTGTGAAATGCCCTCTCCAATATGCTTTTTCATTGTGCAAAATACCTCCACAGTCTGTGCTATGTGTGTGCAGAGTGTTCTGCTCCATTTGTGAACTTGGCCACACAAGGTGCTGCAGAACACTCCAAGGCTGACTTCTTCGTGTCTGCAGGGTCCAATGCAATGACGATGCCAGCATACAAGTGCCCACCTATGACTTGGTAATCGAGGACAGCAATCGTAGTGAACGGCCACTGGCCGCACATGAAAGGTGTCGGACGAGTGGTGGTGGCTCGGTCGCACACACAATAAAGATGGCTTTGATTGATGAGGTCAGGGAGCTGCACAGCAGCCAGTCAGAGCGGTCATGTATCCATGTTGTACTTGCCACCAATGGCTTCACGTACCAGCCAGGGGACCATGTTGCTGTGCTCCCAGAAAACTCAGAGCAGGATGTCCAAGGAGCTGCAAAAGTTTTGGGTGAGTGAATCAAGTTGTTGATCCACGTGCGTCACAAAGTTGAAGCGCTCATGAGCAGCAAAGCGTGTTTTGTGCATTGGATGAAACAATGCTCAAGTTATTTCAAGCATTAGTTGACGATGTGCAGGCGCTGGTACTTCAAATAGTATTTTGAAGTAGACTGCAAAGTTGCATGGACTAGTCTAGCCTTTGACTGTGACGATCGGAAGTGTGAAAATGTTTCCTACACAACCACAACGCAGTGGAAACAACATCCAGCTTGTGTGGTGCTGGGACACGGAGATTGCAGCAGTTGCAGCTAGCTCTCTGGAGGGTGCCTGCTGTCAAACTGGGCCCTGTCTGTGCGCATACCATGCAGTCTGTCCAGCTGCACTTCAGTGTCCACAGGCACCTTGTTGTTGGTTTGCGCAAGGAATGAACGTGAATTTGTGCAAAGTTTGAATATGTATCATGCTCTTCTGCCACCACACAACTACAACCTTTTCATGTGCCACACATGCAGGATGGTACCAGTATGGTACATACAATGGTGCATACAATTGATACATTCACACATAGTCATCCCACCATCATTGAATGCATTTGATACTGTTGTTGTTGATTGATTGTTGTGGATTGAAGCGCCAATGATCGAAAGCATTATACCTGTCTCACACACAAAGAACTCCACATGTGCACTTGCATCACCTGTAGAATGCTGATATGGTGTGATGTGCACGAATTCTGCTGAGCAGGTATGGATTTGGATACTGTCTTCACCCTCAGGCAGCAAGAGGGCAACCCGCACAAGCTCGCTGCCCCCTTCCCTGGTCCAGTCTCACTGAAGACTGCCCTCACGACTTTTGCTGATTTGACCTCACCGCCAAGAAAATCTGCCCTACCGGCACTGGCAGCTTTTGCATCGGATAAGGTTGGCTCACCCACACAGGGAACTCAAAAATGGAAGCAAGCTGCCTCTGTTTGAGACTCTCTATGAGGACGGTCCTGTCCTCAATGCCTGTTGTCTGCTCTGTTGGAACTTTTGCCACGGAATCTGTGCGATATTGTCCATGAACATTCTTGAAGACATCCTCTAGTTCGGGGTTGGAATGAGGTACAGTGCTGTTCTGGTATACTCTTGTGAACGATTGCTCTTGTATCCTGTATTAGTAACCTGTATATTCTTGCATGTGTAGTCTTTGTAAATCATGAAAGCCGTAGAGAGAAGGGCGGTGCCTGCACATTTGCCTCAAGGCAGTGCATTGCATTGATTGAGCCTGGTGGCGTGGCACAAGTGGCACATCTTGCTAACCTTGCATCGTTCTGAATGACAGGAGGAAGCTCGCCGCCTGCTGTTCCTGTGTTCTCATGAGGGCAAGGCGGAGTACCGCAAGTGTGTGCTTGAGAACAGGATGAGCCTCCTTGACTTGTTCCAAGAGTTTCCTTCAGTGAAGCCAACACTGGGAGCTTTCTTTGCCGGCATCTGCCCGAGGCTGCAATCACGTTACTACTCCATATCCTCATCGCCAACTGCACATCCTGATGAGTAAGACGCTGATGGGTGAATTAACGTGCTCCCTGCAAGTTTGGTGACATCTTGCCAGCAGGATTGCAGTCAACATGTCAATTTGCATGCACCTGAGTATTACCTGAAATGTGGAAAAGCACTTTCAACGGACTCCCCCTTTGAGCCGCGAATGGCAGGCAGATGGATGTTGGAACTCAGACTCAATGTCCTCTGCTTGTGCCCCATGGTCAGCAGCAACTACCAAAGCATTATGAAGTCAGTTCTTGACTGCAGCTTGATGTGTGTTGAACAAACTATGTTGCGGTATTGGGAACATGCGATGGAAATGTGTGTGGAACATGCAGTATAGGGCACAGCGCAAGCTGACAATGTGAAGCTAGTGGTCCAGGCAGGCCTGACTGCCATTTGAGAAGTACGCGATGCGAGTGTGGCACGAGCAGCACCAAATTTGTCATGCACCCTTTTTGAATTCCACTGAATGCTCTGGCATCCAGGATACACATCACCGCAGCTGTGGTAGATGAAATCAAGCCGTCGGGGAAGCGACACAAGGGCGTCTGCACCAATTGGATGAAAGCACAGCTACCAGGTACCTTTGCCCTCATCCATGTACGCACATCTCACTTCCGACTGCCAGCTGACCCTGAGGTTCCAATCATCATGGTGGGCCCTGGTGCTGGGTTGGCGCCTTTCCGTGGATTCCTACAGGAGAGGGCAGCACTACAGCAGCAAGGTATGGAGATGCCCTGGAGAACGACTTGGGTTTCTGTGACAAACTGTGTGTTTTGCCTGTGTGTGCTAGCCATGCTGGAACATGATATATGCACCATGCGGCATCCGCACCGTTACCTTGTGCTGCTTGTTTGCATTGGACCTTCCAAGAATGCCGCTTGGTGAAGTGTTTGAGTTGGTGCAGACCATGAAAGTGAACACACTTCGCCCCTTGCACACAATGAGCCCTTGTCCAGTCGCTCGTGGAATCGGTCCCTGGAACTCGATGATCAGTTTCCCCTCGTCTGCTGCTTGGCTGCAGGTCGGAAACTGGGCCCAGCACTGTTGTTCTTTGGGTGCCGAAGCCGAAGGAAGGACTTCATCTATGAGGATGAGCTTCGGCAGCACTTGGAGGATGGCGTCCTCACAGAGCTGTACACTGCTTTTTCAAGAGATCAAGAGAAAAAGGACTATGTGCAGCATCACCTACTCGCAAACAGTAAGCTCAATTTCATTCAGCATCAGAGTGCCCATCGGGAGTGCGTTGTAGTGGTCAGGTTTTGGGAGCCACAAAGCTGCAGAGCTACACAAGCATGCAATGGCACATCCAAATGGCCACAGAAGAGCTTCTGTGTTTATATTGGGCGCACCCTGCTGTTGTACTGGCACACCAAAACGCCACATGGCTTGTGCACGCAGTGCTATTTTAGGAAGCCTGACAAATGCAACAGACTATAGCTCAGTGCTTCATTGAAAAGCCAAGGAAATGAGCTGGGGACAAGCCGCAGCGGCATGGGCTGCTTGCACACCTCCAGCTTGTCTCGTGTATGTTGAACTACACAGTTACACAAATAGGTGCCTGCAGAGGGATGAACTTGGTTCTTGATGAACACGCCACACGGTGCATGCACATGGTGACATGGTTCGGCTGTTTTCAAACTGGGCATCTATTCTGCCGAATCAAGTGTGGACTCGATGGCGACTCCAGGAACACCGCTTGACAGTTGATCATGCGCACTTTGGTTGGCATGGAACCGTCTTGCACTGCACACCTCAAGGATTATGCGAATCGCCAAGCGTCCTGTGGCAGTTTCACTCCATGCCCGCATGTGGTGGGCTGATCGCCGTTTCCGGCAGTGGCTTGCTTGTTCGCGCAACAACAAATGCTAGCTTGGGATAGCGCTGCTACAAGCAGTTGTGCTACCAGTAGCTTGGGAGTACAAGGGCCAGCATATTTTCCTGGTACTGTGTCACCAGCGTGTGTGGTGCCAATGGAGCCCATTATGAGCTGGAACAACATCCGTGCTAGTCAGAGTTTTTTGATTTGGAATGCAGGGTGTATGTCATGCAGTGTGTGTTAGACTGTTGGAGTGTGTTAACTATATTGTGATATTGTATTTCACTAGACTATAAGAGCATTTTTGTATTTGTGGCGCTCGAATGCGTGCGCCCCACCTGTGGGCGCTTTCCCTGGCATTGACGCATCCGTCGAACGAATCGTGAACACTCACGCACACAGCACACCTTGTGCCAGACCCTCCCTGCATCCCTTGTCTCTGTATCCTTTTGCACTAAATGAACTGCTGACCAATGTGCACTCTCTCCCCACACATTACCAAGTCACAATGTGCATCAGGCCAGTCGGTTGTTTGGAGCTCTTTGGAGTTGTTTGGAGCTATTTGGAGTTTTTTTTGGGAGCCAAGAGCGTTTGTTGCTGGTGGCTGTGCAGAGGAGAGGGTGTGGGCAACGCTGAGCGGCAACCGCAAGGGCGTGTTCTACGTCTGCGGGGAGGCGGCGCGCATGGCCAGAGACGTGCACGCAGCCTTGGTAGACATAGTGCAGCAGTGTCAGAAGTGCTCAGGTCCCGTGGCGGAGATGATTGTGAAGTCGCTGAGCGACCAGGGGCGGTACCAGAAGGACATTTGGTAGGGTTAATTTGGCATTCGTTTTCGGGCGTGGGATTCTTGCTCCAGTAGATGTCAGGCACGGTGAGCTTGAAACAGCTGCGCAATGCAATAACGGGAAGTTGGCACCTAATTTACGTAGGGTTTGTGTCTTTGAGACGGGCCGATTTGCGAATGACAAGGGCATGCTGAGTGGGAAGCTGCCACAAGAGATACTGCAGTGGATTTCTCCGTCCCCGCGTTGGGCGACACCAACACGGACGTTGACGATATGAATGGGCCACGAAATATCGAGATTAGCAATTTGAGGACCCTCCGTTGCATGCCCTCGACAGTTGCTGCCATCTCAAGATGTCAGTTCCCCACTTTCAGCGCCTTCAGAAGCTGCTGTTGTGATCGATCCATATCTATTCAAAGCACACCTGTTTCAGCCGACCAGTCAGGCAGAGCTGCAGATCAAGGCAAGCGTGCAACCGGCTGTTGTTTTCTGGCGCCAGAGAACGGTTGACAACATATCGCACAATGCCCCACAAATGTTTTGCTGCCACAGGTCGCCACTGTCGCTGCCAGTCAATCCAGCTATGGCATTCGCGCAGTCCACCACGGCGTCCCATCAACCAGCCATCCGCTCTGCTGAAGCGCTCGTTGTATTCAGAAACTGGAGACATTGTCAATCGACAACAAATGGCACAGATGGGAATGGGGGTCATGCCGCGCTGCACGCTGCCACACTGCACGCTGTCGACAACGCTAATCACTCGCGTTCGTGGCACCACAACGCATAGCAGTGCAGACAAGCGCACAGCAAACACGGTGGCAACAGCAGAGAAAACAAGAAGAAAATAGAACAGATACCAACAAGGGCCCTCCCACACGCCCACCCACGGAACCCGCATGAAGGAGTTCAAGATGCCCGCCCCGCACAAATGCAGCCATACGTGGGCGCCGTATTCTTTGGCGCGCGGAGCCATAACAACAAAAATCAAGCATCCGGGCGCCAACAAGTTGAACGGGGCCGCACGGATGCGCCCGTCGCCCTCTTGCAACGCCGGCACGTGGTGCTGACTGGTCACCGCAAAATGGGGGGACGATTTGACTCGCTCCTCGGGCTGGCCTAGTTTAGTTCACGCACGGGCCTCCCCCTCCGGCCCTCGGCACGGCGCCCACGGCATGCTGACGCCAGGCGATCAACTCTCGCCGGGGGCCTTCTCAAAACATCCAGCGGTGGCGCCATTCCACCGCCTGTGCGCCCTGCCCTGCGGCAGGGGGCGCCCCAAAGCCGCGAGCATCTGCCCCAGGCGTCCTTCCCTGGCGGTAACTGCCAGGGCAGTTTTAGGGCTGAAGCCTCGGAGCTTTTAGGGAGGCTGTCAAGGAGGCTTGGGAGTCCCAAGGCCGCCCGGTTGGAGAAGAGGGCCCCTGGCGGAGAGCGCCAGGGGCGCTTACCACCTGACTCTGCTGGCTTGGGGTGGGCGCGCACGAATGCATGCCATCGGCTTGCTGGAGGCCGCTCATGAAGGAGGCGGAGGGCACGTCGAGGGGCCCGTGGTACCAGGGCGGCCCGGACGGGGACGGGAAGCTGCCCGGGGACGCTGGGACGGACTTCCGTAGCAGCTTCCTGTACGCCCAGACCGCTGGCGGTCAAACTGCCGCCAAAGGTGGGTGGCTGGGGGAGCTGATGTGGCGCGGGTATCGGCGCTTGTGGGTGCGACGGACCGAAAAAGATGCGGGGTTGCAAGTGAGGTTTTGAGGAGCATGTCGAGGCTGAAGCGAGGTTTGGGGGCTACGGTGTCGACTCGCCCTCGCGTGGATATCCGCACCATCAGCCCCATTACGAGTGTCTAAAGACGCGAGATCCTGATCTTTTCCGAACTTTGGCTGATGACGGTCTTCCTTGCTATCCGTATGGAGCATGACCAATATAATCAATCGATCAATTCCTGAAGTATTTACCATTCTAGCTGGAGAAAATTCAGTGTTGATATAGCATACAATGCATCTAAGATAGATTGCCCGTGCAATTGGGGCTTAGAAACTCGATGCGTTGGAGTAAGTGGTAGGAACCCTATCAAAATTTTCTCCATCTCAACCGTTAGAAATCATGGCATGCGTTCGGGAAAGTGACAACAACAACAGAACGAAACCAAAGTTCAGACAAGAGCAGCAATGTGATTCCCGTCTATTCTCATTACATGCACGACAGCTGCACAGGATGTGACTTGATTCACAAGAAAATGCATTAGTCCCCAATTCGAGAGAAAGCGCACGACAACAATTGTCTTTGTCGAAATTATTTCGACGGTTTTTTTCCTCAAATGTTTTCGGCTGCAGTCTTGTGGGCAGTGCTTCTGGCAGGCGGCATGGGAACATTGCCCCGGGGGCGCGAGCGTACAATCAACACCGCAAGGAGATCCGCCACCACTGAGCGGGTGTTGAGACGAGCGACATCGGCCCCGCACAGGTCACTGAGCAGTGGAGCTTTCGCCAGTGAGTCCATGTACCGGAACAAGGCTGCACATGCACATATCGGATCAGTCAGAAAGCACGGGTGGGAACAATGGCCTTGGTAATCCAGACCAGCACGAGACGAATTGCTTTTGCTTCTTTTAACAGTAGTTATATATGCTTCTATTAGTCAACTGTATATGCTTCTATTAATAGTAATTAAAAGAATTCAATATTGAATTGGTCGAATATTCCGAGGGATATGCCAACCGGCGTGCTTCGCTGTCCAACAGAAACAGGTGGGAAATTGAGAAGAACCCAAACCTCAAATTTCCGGAGAACGGTCTGGCACGTCGATTTTGCAGGTGCATATTCCAGGAATGATGCTGTGATTTGTTCTGGACAGATATGGGAATCATGCATGTGGCAGGCCCACCATCTGCGCGGAAGAGCTGCGGCAACCTGTACGATGGCCTGGAGGTAATGTCCCGAGCAGTGTGCGCCATTCATCACCCCAACGCGGCAAAACAGAGAAAAACCAACTTCCAGACACACCCTGCCAAACTGAATGGCATGCGCTGTACCTCGTGTTGCCCCAAGGCTTGAGCTGACCTGCTCCGCCGTGTGGAAGTTCCAGGCATCAAAGAAAAGAGAAACCACTGCACTTGGGAATCATTCACTTGGAATTCAGGGAGCAACCTGAGGAACACCGATCTGTTTTGTGGAGGGATCAGGCGTGCTCATGGTGCGTGAGGCGAGACTGTCCAAGAGGCCACAATCAGCCAGTGGCCGAACGTCGCTGTTGCATCTCCGAGGAGAAGCGACCCAACCAAGACAGATGACCCTCTCTGCGAGGCGATCTCTGCGAGGGAGGGGAGCCAATTGCGGCGGAAGCGCTGCGCAGCTGGGAATGCCAGGTAAAATTTCGGGACCCCTGCCGCTGGACTTGTGTTGGCCCATCTGAGCATACGCCACGGCACCCGCAGGAAACTCGGGAACGTGCTTCGATCATGGTTCCTCAGCATGCAATCCAAACGCGTCGGCGCCCACCATGAGAAGCACTGAATATTCGAGGCGTCCCAAGCCGGCATCAGTTCGATTCCACAGCCCTTGAAACGTGACGTCCATTGATGAGCCGTCAGCCACCGCGTGCTGCCATTCGCATGCATCAAGCAGCAGTACCCTTCGTTGCCAGCATGCACCCATGAGGACCTCATTTCAATACCACAGTTCAATCCCTCGTTCCCCTGGGTCGCACCGCCGACGACTGACGCCAGTCCCAATAAAATGAGCTGTCTGCAAACCCCTGGTTTGCAGTCAGAGCGTGCAGCTGCCCGTCCGGGTTGTGGTCATTTTGGCCTGATGTCGTGCCCCACCCACAGACAGTCTGGAGCTTTACTAGGTCGTTTCAGTTAAGCCAGGGTGGTTTCACCAGCTGTGAAATTTTGTTGCTTGCAGGATCCCCTTCCCGCGACCCGCACGGCGCCGCAAAGCCCACCAACAAGCCCCGCCAGCAGTCGGCCAAGGCCTGTGCTGCGTCCCCGCGCGACAGGAGGCCCGCGCCCCCCTCCCCGCCCGGCGACATCCTGGACAGGCTGACTCACAGTCCGCTGGGCCAGGCGCCGCACCGCCACACCAGGGCCGCCATGACCGCGCGCCGCCGCAGCCCTGCCAAGTCGCGGCCCAGCCGGCCGGGTACGCCCGTCGTCTGCGGCTCGGCCACGGCCAGGGCCGGCGTCGGTCCCGAGGGCCCGAGGTCGGCGAGCCTGCGGTGGCCCTTTGGGCCCAGGGAGGCGGCGGCTAAGGGCGGTTCCAGGGCGTCGAGGATTGAGACGCCGGGGCGCGCTCCGGAGTGCGGCGTTCCTTGGGGCCTGGAGGTGGCCACCGTGGCCTGCGCGGGAGGGTGGTGGCGAGAGGGCGTGGCGCCCGGCGGCAGGCCGCCGCGCAATTGCGTGCGGTCGGAGGGTGAGGCCTGGGGGGAGGGGCGCTCGAGCCGAGGGGAGCGAGAGGAGCAGGTGGGGCCCGCCTCAAGTCCGCGGCTGAGAACTGCCTTTACACTGCCTATTGCAGACAGAGCGGTACCCTTGCGCCTTGTCGGCGATGGCGGACGCTGTTTGTTTGCGGGTGTCGGTGAGGTTTTGGGTGGGGGCCGGAGGAGCGAATGTGGCCTTAAAAGCAAGGCGAACAGTGCGCCGCATTGTTCATGTCACGTGCAAGGCTTTTAGGGAGAGGTGACGGAGGGGGGCGCCGCTGTGGGTGCTGGACGTTTCCGTCCAGTGTGGAGTCTGAGCGCGTTCGACAGGTACAGAACATTTGTATAGAACATGCAGCCTTGCGGCCACGGACCTTGCGCAGTGCCGTAGTCCACCCAAGTGTTGAACACTGGACGGTGGCCCGCGTGGGAATTCATTTGTTGGAGGTGCAGATCCTCTTCTGGAAATGCACCTCTGCATGCCTTCTAGTGCTGCGTCCAATCTCGCGGCCAGAATGGAGCCCTGTGCAGATTCCAAATGGTTCAGACTCGCCCAGAAACCACGCACAGTTGGTTGCTGCAAGTCCGTGAGTTGAATAGACGACTTCGGC